GAAAGAGGTCAAGAAACGGCTCTACCCCAATGTAGGCCTCACAAAGATGCGAAAAGATACTGATGAAGGCGATGGAATTGGGGTTCAAATGGAGCAAAGAAAGACCGTAGAAATTCAAGACCAAAAGAAGAAACTCAGAAGGCGGAGGAAGAAAACCACAGAGAATATAGTCCTCGACCGCGACCATGCGGCCCAGGACATGCTGGGTTCAATACCTCCTGCTTCTCTCTATGGTCCCGTGACCGAGAAGGGCGCCGTCTTCCTGCAGCTTCTTCAACGACGCACTGGTAGAAGTAGACTTGTCGAGATCCATTACCGCCGGAGGTCGCCGGAGAAAGGACCGAGATGAGCAAGCTAGGGTTTTTGCGGGAGCGGAGAAGAAGAGGAACGCTTGGAGGCTGGAGAGTTTTTCGCAACAAGCGGACTTCAAAATGGATCCCCAAAACTTCCTTAAATAGACGCACTACCGATGGTGCGAATTCCAAGGAAAGGAGAGATGACCGCTGGAAATTTCTGGGTCCGTTACGCGCGGCAGTTTTTCGGACTTCAATTTAAATTCACTCATGACCGTTGAACTTCGCATGGTGTTGTCGATTACTCTTTGTCTCCACGGTTCTCATACCAAGATCGATCAGGCGAAAACGACAACAACCTCGACATCGGAAGTCGCGATCAGTTACATGAGTTCATTTAAGCAGAAGTCGGGGGCTACTGTCAGGGTTACGGGTAAGGTATACCCTCTACCCTCGGATATACGTCGTGTATAGATATGGTATATCTGCACGTATACGGACGTTTTCTGTATACGTTAAGGAAATTCATCACGGAGTCCACAGATGGAAGGAGTCCTACTTGTACAGAACTGGGTCGTCACTATATCGTGTAGGGTCCGATGTCTCCCCTACTTGGAGACCAACTGACTAGCGGTATAAAAGGGACCCCCGAGAGGACCTAAGGCATCTCGAATCTCACCGCCAACACATCCACCATAGCTTACAAAGTCAGAGCCTACAGGAGCCAAGTCGCCGAGTGATCTAGTTGAACCAATTCGACTACGATCTCGTCGGTATCATCGAGTTCCACTATTCCCTTTGTAATCTGTGATTTCCGTCATATAATCTCATATCAACTGGATTAGGGCTACTACCTATCAAGGGGCCTAAACCAGTATAATCTTTGTTTTCCATTTGCTTGATGTAGTATTACGTAGATCCTAATACCAGCGTACCCCAATACCCTCTATATCCGGTCTACGAGTATCCCCCGTCGACAGTTTGTACACGGTTTTAGTCGCTCGTCTTCGGTGGTTGGCCATTGTGATTTGCCTTGTCCCAGCACTGTTGCCCGTTCTTACCAAGCTGATAGGTGAATGGCCTGTCTTGAAGCTCAGATTTCGGCTTGGTAAAACTTATAAGTCAGATTTCCTTAACATGGTCTGAATTGAACGGTTCACATTCCTGTCATTTTGGTATGCTACAGTATTGAAGTCAGAAGCTGATGTTTTATTTTTGGTTTGCTACATTTGTAATATTGTTTATAAAATTCTCTCAAAACTCTGTATGTGGCGTTGGTGATACAGCAAAACAATGCTTATGAAACAATGAATAATGTTATTCTTGTTGCCTCATGCTTTACTTTCCTGCCAGTTATATTACCTAACGAGTACTTAATTATTTGTGAAACTGGTTATGTCGGAAATTACATACGAGTCAAAATAAGATAAATAGATGATCAGCATAAAAATTGATTTACGATTACATTTCACATACACACATGTAGGTTAGATTAGGCGCATCCTATCTTACTATAAAGTTAAAATTCACTAAATCCTAAGGCTCAACATGCAAAGATAACAAACTCATGCAAGTATGCAACATCACCTACCAATTCATGGAATTCGGGACTATCTGAAAAACTGTCGCAAGTTTTTTTTGGAAAAACTTTCAAATCTAACTATAGTATAATTGTAATATAATTCCACTATAACTATAATATAACTTGTATATATATTATATTGTTAAAGGAATAAAAAAAGAGCCTCCACGTTTGTTCTCATGGCCTAGAAATTCTCACATTAATCGGAGAAAAAGAAAAGGCAGAGTCCATATAGAAATACAATTTAGAAATAGCTGAAATTCAGAATTAAAAAATAAGGAATATTAGAAGAGGAGACTAGAGTCCATATAGAAATACAATTTAGAAATAGGTGAAATTTGGAAATAAAAAATAAGGAATATTAGAAGAGGAGACTAGAGTCCATATAGAAATACAATTAGGAAATAAATGAAATTCGAAATTAAAAATAAGGAATATAAGAAGTAGAGTATAGAGTCCATATAGAAATACAATTAGGAAATAACTGAAATTCGGAATTAAAAATAAGGAATATTAGAAGTAGAGTATAGAATCCATGTAGAAATATAATTAGGAAATAATAGAAATTCGGAATAAAAAATAAGGAATATTAGAAGTAGATTATAGAGTCCATGTAGAAATACAATTAGGAAATAATAGAAATTCAGAATTAAAAATAAGGAATATTAGAAGTAGAGTATAGAGTCCATATAGGAATTTAAAACTAACTAAAATTCGTAACAAAAAGGAGCCTCCACGTTTGCGCTCATGACCTAGAAATTCTCACATTAATCGGAGAAAAAGAAAAAGCAGAGTTCATATAGAAATACAATTTAGAAATAGCTGAAATTCGGAATTAAAAAATAAGGAATATTAGAGGAGCCTCCACGTTCATTTTCATGGTCTAGAAATTCTCACATTAATCGGAGAAAAAGAAAAAGCATAGTTCATATAGAAATACAATTTAAAAATAGCTGAAATTCGGAATTAAAAATAAGAAATATTAGAAGAGGAGACTAGAGTCCATATAGAAATACAATTTAGGAATAGCTGAAATTCGGAATTAAAAAATAAGGAATATTAGAAGAGGAGACTAGAGTTCATATAGAAATATAATTAGGAAATAACTGAAATTCAGAATTAAAAATAAGGAATATTAGAAGTAGAGTATAGAGTCCATATAAAAATACAATTAGAAAATAACTGAAACTTGGAATTAAAAATAAGGAATATTATAAGTAGAGTATAGGGTCCATATAGAAATACAATTAAGAAAAAAGATAGAAATTCGGAATTAAAAAATAAGTAATATTAGAAGTAGAGTATAGAGTCCATATAGGAATTTAACACTAACTAAAATTTAGAAAAAAAGGAGTCTCCACGTTCGCTCTCATGACCTAGAAATTCTCACATTAATCGGAGAAAAAGAAAAAACATAGTCCATATAGAAATACAAGTTAGAAATAGCTAAAATTTAGAATTAAAAAATAAGGAATATTAGAAGAGGTGACTAGAGTCCATATAGAAATACAATTTAGAAATATTTGAAATTCAGAATTAAAAAATAAGGAATATTAGAAGTAGAGTATAGAAATACAATTAGGAAATAATAGAAATTCGGAATTAAAAATAAGGAATATTAGAAGTAGAGTATAGAGTCCATATAGAAATACAATTAAGAAAAAAGATAGAAATTCGGAATTAAAAAATAAGTAATATTAGAAGTAGAGTATAGAGTCCATATAGGAATTTAACACTAACTAAAATTTAGAAAAAAAAGGAGTCTCCACGTTCGCTCTTATGACCTAGAAATTCTCACATTAATCGGAGAAAAAGAAAAAGCAGAGTCCATATAAAAATACAATTTAGAAATAGCTGAAATTCGGAATTAAAAGATAAGGAATATTAGAAGAGGAGACTAGAGTAGTTATTACACATTAGTAGTTTCATAAAGTTATTGCAAAATTTAAAATTATGTTGTCATTGTAATATATTTTAATAATATAATAAGAAAACATATACGAGAGAAAATATAATGATGCTAGCCGCGCAATCTGCGGGGGCCACCATGCTAGTTAAAATAATATATACAACTTTATATCTAACTTATATAGAGATTACAATGTAGCTACAGTGCTACACTATTGTAACTACGATGTAATTGCATTGTAGTTCCATTACAACTATACTATAGCCGTAATTGCATTGTAGTTCCATTACAACTATACTATAGCCACATTTGAAAGTCTTTTGCCCAAAAAACTTGCGACATTTTTTTAGCAATACCGTTCACGAATCAACATCCAATCATCTCCCTTCACATTATTTTGCACAATATTTTTAACATATATATATTCATGGATAAGCACCCTAATCCTATAAATGTCATCGACAAAAGTAACTTCCTAAAAATACCATCACCGTCAACTTGTTATTAACAACTCTCCGTTAAGTTGTATGAAAAGACGATCTTACCTTTAGACAACCATTTGCTTAGACAACATTATTTTGTGTTGACTCAAATTTCCATCTCTGAAGGACACAATGAGTACAAAATATCCATCTCTGAAGGACACAAAAGGCAACAATAACCTGAGAAATATCTTCAAGAGATTTTCTTTGATTTCATTAGAATTGAATTCTAAAAACCCTCACAGCTCCCTCGTTAAAATGGTATTCAGTACATAGACACACTTCTTAGAATTGATTATCCAACCCAAATTACTTATCCCTGAATAAAGGATTCATTGAGCATAATGCCATATTATCATCGGACTTTTGCAAGGGTACACCAACTCTCACTCTATATTGTAGTATCTGTTTCTGTTCTCTAATTAGTGATAGTACTGCAAGCCTCCGTTTTGAATTTTATGCAATTGCTCGGCTCCTATCGGATGGCCTATTCAGCCAAAGAAAAAGCTAAAATTTGAATTTTCAAACTTTTTTTTTGACATTGATTTTGAGATATTTTCAACGTAGTTTCTTTTTCAGCATTGGCTTTTAAGTCACCAGAACACATATATAAACGTTTTACCTACAAATTCATTTTTATTCTCTAATAAGCCGTTTTGGCTTATTACGGAAAAAGCCAAAGGATGAGGCCCTAAATTTAGCAAAGTAATCCTTCAAATCACATGGCACAAAAGTTATCAATCAAAACAAAACGTACTTCCCTCCATCAGAATTAATAAAAACCCAACAGGGAGATTAATCAATTTGTCATATAGTAAGTAAAAGAAAAAAAGAAACAAGGTACGGAGTAGCTAGCAATAGAACAGAGCTATTGACCTGTTTCTGGCCCCTCATCTGCAGCAGCATGCCGGCACCGCCATCTCCCCTTTCTCCTCTCCACAGTGCCCTTCCTCCTATCCTAGGAGGATAGGCAGATTCCCAAAATGGGCGTCGGGAGGGCGCGATGGGGCGGGGCTGGGGTGATGCGAGGGTGTGACGATCTGGGTGCCATCACACCCAGGTCATGTCATCGGGTCTTCTCGGGTGATTGTCGGCAGCACCTGAGAGACGGCAATGAAGACGGTCAGGGACCGGCAACTGTGGCCTCCTCGCCGCCCCCAGTGATCGTCGATTCGCCGCTTGCGGCCTCCTCGCCTCCTGTGACCATCATGCCGTCACTTGCGGACCCCGTGCCGCCGCCTTCGGACCCCATGCCACCTCCCGTGACCTCCACGCCGCTGCTCCCTGCGACTGTTGCGCCGACACCGGGCATAGCGCCGCCACCATGGACCGCCACGTCGCCATCTGGGACTGCCACGCGGACATCAAGCATAACAGTGCCACCACCGTGGACCGCCGCCTCACTGCCATTGCCAACCAGGATAACCACGCCACCGTTGAGAGAGCCACCTGGATCGGGCATAAGAGGAGGCTCACTTTTTTACATGACCAAATTGCTCCTCCTTTCTCTCTCTCCCTCCTTTCTCTCTTCTCCGGTGAGGTTGTCGACGTGTTGCTGGCCGGTGAGCCCTGTGGTTGTCGAAATGTTCCTGGAAGCGGCCAAGAGCACAGCGGTGTCGGCTGCTGAGGCGTTGCGGCAGACGGCTGGTCACAGCGGGAGACAAGCTTGGCAGCGGCGGCGGCGCCCGGAGCGCACGCGGCTTGCTCGGCGGCAGCAGCAGCCGCGGACCACGCCAGCACACCGCTGCTCCAACGCGTGCTTCTCCTTCCTCGGTGCGGCGACATCTGACCGCAGCCGCTGCAACTCGTCACGCCCATAGTCAACGCGCCGGCGGAGCTCCTCCACCGCCACCCGCTTCTTCCCCGCCGCCTCCTTCTTGGCCACGACCAGCTTGGCCCAGAGCAGCTCAAGCTCCTCGCCAAGCAGCATGGAGGAGAGCCACGCCTTCACCACCGGCCCTGCAGGAGGCCACCACTACCAGCCACTACTGTGAGGCTTCTACGGTGTAATCCACTGTGCTCCTCGCTACGCCGGGGAGATTCTAGACGGCGACCACAATCGCCGCATTCTTGGCCATGCCGGGAAGGTCCAGCGCCGCCGCCATCGTCGAGCAGGCTGCACGCGCACCGGGTGCCGCCGCTGTCGCCATCCACGCTCCGAGCGCCACTGCCATCGTTGAGCAGACCACACGCACTCCGGGCGCGACCGCCGAGCAGGGCGCACGCACCGCGGAGAAGAGATGAAGGAGGGAGAGAAAGAAAGGGATAAGGAGGAAGAGAGGAATCGAAAGAGAAAGGAGAGGCAATTTGGTCTAAACCATGTAAAAAAGTGTCTAGTTAGCACAAAAATATTATTTTAATGGATGGAGTGTTCGTGACAAATAACCATATGTACGGAGTGTGTTTACCAAAGTGATTTCATGCGGTATCCTAAAGCTAAAACCACAAAGTCACGATGTCCTGTACAAAAATTTATCAATAGACTTTGGAATTGTTTTATCTTTAGACTTTGGAATTGTTTGGTTACCTTTCACTTTATAATTTCATGGAGAATAACGATGAAGAGTGTAATTAAATAGGAGATGGCTATGATTTGATGAGATATAAATAAGGGAACAAGTGAAGAAGTAGCTAATAAAAATATTTTAGAGAACATGTGAAAGTTTTGACTGATAGCCGATTGGGCTATTTGGGCCGTGATCAGCAGAAGGCCTCTCTCTCTCTCTCTCTCTCTCTCTCTCTCGTGCGTCACCTCCTCGCGTGCTCAGCGCCGCCGCCGTCCAGCTGCTTCTTCCGCCGCATCCTCGCCGCCGGTGAGCGCACCTCCTCCCTCTAGCTCTTCCTCCTCTTTCTTCTCTATCTTTTTTCCTTAACCTAAGCTTCTCCTCTAGATCTGGAGTTTTTTTTGGGTTTTGCGGGATTCTTTTGGGATGGGATTTCTGATTTTTTTTTGGTGATGTGGTGGTGGCTGGTTCGTTTCTAGGGTTAGGGTTTTGGGGATGTCCGACCGGCAGCAGTCGGAGGAGCCGGAGGAGCAGGTGGACCTGGAGGGGGACGACGACAACGACGTCATGGACGACGACGAGGACGGGTACCGCCGCCGCCGCCGCCGCGAGGACTCCGACGAGCCGGACGACGACGAGGAGGATCCCGAGGTCGAGGGCGATGGCCACGGAGACGCGGGGACCGCGGCGGGCGAAGGAGGAGCGCATGAGATGGACAAGGCCGCCGGCGGCGGCGGCGATGGGCCTGAGGACGATGACGAGAAGCGGAAGTGGGATGAGCTGCTCGCTCTGCCGCCTCAGGGCTCCGAGGTGTTCATCGGCGGTCTCCCCCGCGACACCACCGAGGAGGACCTCCGTGAGCTCTGCGACTCGTTCGGCGAAATCTATGAGGTATCTGAATGCTATCAGCATCTTCTTTTTCAGTATTGTTTGCCCGGCCTGTAACACAATGCAACTTTGATATGACGCCATGGATGGATCGATGACAGGTGAGGTTGATGAAGGATAAAGAGACCAAGGAGAACAAAGGATTCGCATTCGTCAACTTCACCGCGAAGGAAGCGGCTCAGCGTGCTATCGAGGAACTGCATGACAAAGAACACAAGGTATTACCTTGTAGCTCTGTTGGTCGCCATAGAGGAGGCTTTGTTCTATCACGTATGATGTGCTTACATTGGATGGTTTGGTCTTTGGTGCAGGGGAGGACACTGCGGTGCTCACTGTCGCAGGCAAAGCACAGGCTATTCGTTGGTAATGTACCCAAGGGGTTGGGTGAGGAGGAGCTGAGAAAGATAATCCAAGGGAAGGGGCCAGGTGTTGTCAACATTGAGATGTTCAAGGTGTGTCTTTTGATTTCACAGTTGTATTTTGTACGACAAAGGTCCCAAGTTTGCTAATAGAGATGTTCTCTTGGTCCTGCAGGATTTACATGACCCAAGCCGTAACCGTGGGTTCCTCTTTGTTGAGTATTATAACCACGCTTGTGCAGACTATGCCAGGCAGAAATTGTCAGCACCAAACTTTAAGGTTGATGGTAGCCAATTGACCGTCAGCTGGGCTGAACCTAAGGGTTCATCAGATTCTTCTTCTGCAGCTGCCCAGGTATCTTTACTATATGAAAAGAAAACCTATTGGTGAATCTACCATCCATTAGTACCCTTATCTCTACTACTATAAAAAGCAGAGTTTGCTCTGCCCTTCCGCCCCAACCATCACATGTCCTTCCCATTGTGCACGGCGTGCAATGTCGTGCTGTGGCCTTATTCTGTCATCATGAACAAAATCAAGCACCAGCACATCATCTCCAAACCATCTGCCCCCACGTCCCGCAGAAACTGTTTCCCCATCTCCACTCGTGATCATATCCCACACCTGACGTATGCCATTAATCCATTATCTTCCTCTCGCACACATTTATCCTGCCTCACGCATTGCGCCTTCAGTACAGGTCGACACCCTACCGATATCGATGCTCTATGGATGGAATGCTTGCGTGCTTGGCGCCTCCCAAGCCGTGCCGATACTGACCATATGTTCCCCATGCCCCCAACTGTTGCATGCACCACGCCCCACTGCTATCTTCCCCTTGGCCGCTTGACCTCAAGTTGCTAACTGGCATCACCTACCCACAGATCTACCATCTCACCCTCTTTTACATCCGCTACCACCCTCCTACACGCTAGCCCACTAGCGCGAGCACAACAAAAGGCGGCAATGTGACATGGGCCATGTGCATGGCAGCTCAAGGAAGCTGCAGGGGAACGGCTGCACGGCAAGTGGGAGAAAGCATGCATCAACAAGATTGTCTGGACTCGTGTCCAGCCGTCCATTGAAATGGTGACATTTGCTGACTTTTTTTCCTCTTTTGGTTCCTGTGTTGCTGCCAGGGGATTCAAACAAGGAATTGCCTTGGATAATAGCATTCAGTTATGTATGCATACAAGGTGCTTGAGAAAATACTCCAAGAGTCAAGACTAACAGATTTTAGATCATTCAGTATCTTCTTAATTTGTTGTGTTGAAGTTGTCGGGTCTTTCTTTAGCAAATGGGGAGGTGGTCTGAATGGAAAGAGGCCTACTTTTTCTTGAAGTTGGACTCTTCATGTTTGGTGTGGTGAGCACCAGCAGTCAGAAGTGTGAAATTATAATAATCAGTGCATTGCTTCTTTAGCAGTGGTCTTTGGCTTGCCAATTGTTTTGTCTAGAACTTAACGCTGTAGTTTCCAAGAAAAATGATTCAATCACTTTTCTTAAAGACATATATACCTGAACCCTAAATTTCATTCATACACCAAGAGTTCATATGCAACCTTGTCTGTCCATGCATCTATGCTTCTTGTGTTTTTTTTTTCTTGCAGGTACTATATTGATGACATTTTCTTACACATGAAACATGCAGTACTACCTTAAATTTTAGTATTAGCTTTGAAATGTTTTGATCCCATTGCAGTGCACGGGCCACTCAGTTGGCACACTGTAAATGAAAAACTCAGCATAATTTATGCTTCAATGTACGGAGTACAGCTATGAACACTGAAGTAGAACCCCTTAGGAAAAAAACTGTCAATATTGCGAATCTATTAGGGTAATTTACTTGGAAAAGAGGCACTGAATTTGCTTCCTTTATGCCATATAATGTTTGCTAGAGAAGGAACTGGCAAATGAATAAGGAAACATTAATCTGTGACATTAAAAGATTTTGTGAACCATAATTACTGGTTACCATGGCTGAACCAGAATAACCATCTTTTTGCTGATGTATTTCTAGGTCCCAGTCGCATTCTTACTTTTATTTCTACATGGTACAGTAGGGGATGTATAACCAGTAATTGCTTGTTGTCTGTACATTAAAACAATCTGACATAGTAGTTAGGTTGACTTGAAGTTGGTCTACTCGTTCAATGCCTGTGCAAGGTTGTTTATGTGGTCGATGGTTTCTCCTTATGTGATGCACTTTTAGCTTGTCAATTTTTTATATTCACAGAGATTATTAGCTTTGATATGTCATATCACCTTTTTTGTTGAGTCCTAGGAAATTTTTGTCTGAATGACATTTCCTTTACAGGTGAAGACTATATATGTGAAGAACTTACCAGAAAATGCTTCTAAAGAGAAGATTAAGGAGATTTTTGAAAAGCATGGAGAGGTCACAAAAGTCGTTTTGCCACCTGCTAAGGATGGGCATAAGAGAGATTTTGGTTTTGTTCACTTTGCTGAAAGATCAAGTGCACTGAAGGCAGTTAAAGGAAGCGAAAAATATGAATTTAATGGTAATGTTTTCTCCTTGTTTATCATTTATCATTATTTATGGAACTTGGTATTCTTTGTTTAGGTAGTTGCTTCCTGTGGAAAGCAGATATGTTTAGATCATTTGCTCTGATGATTTTACAGGACCTTTGCAGTCAGCACTGTTACACTGTATATTAGTAACTTGTTAGTTTTGGATATCAAGGAACCACTGGCATTGCCAAGGACTATGTGAATGGCTACTTCTAAATTTTGTTCATCAGAACTAGAGTTAATCTTGCTCTGACTGAAACACAGGGCAAGTGCTGGAAGTATCCATGGCCAAACCTTTGGGTGACAAGAAACCTGATCACTCGTTCAAGCCAGCAGGAGCTCCAAATTTTCCACTTCCTCCTTATGGTGGCTACATGGGAGATCCATATGGTGCTTATGGTGGTGGTGGTCCTGGATTCAACCAGGTAAACCAAACTAAACATTTGTAGGCTACCATATTGACATTGTAGTCTGTCTTTATGGACTTTTCTCCTTTTTTTTGGCAGCCTATGATCTATGGTAGAGGACCAGCACCAGCTGGAATGAGGATGGTCCCAATGGTGCTCCCTGACGGTCGTCTTGGATATGTTCTGTAAGACAATTTTTCTGCTGCCCTAGACAATTTTTTAGCATACCATCTCCATTCCTCACGATTTGTTTCCAATGTCGATAGGCAACAGCCTGGTGGAATTCCCCCTCCACCACCAATGCGACGCGGTGACCGGAGGGATGGTGGCAGCCGAGGTGGTGAAGGGAGTCATGGCCGGCGATATCGCCCTTACTAGTTTTTCTTTTTTTTTTCCGTTCCCCTGTGCCGCCAGCCATCATGCAGTGTGATGGATTTGTTAACTTATGAAACAAGAGAGAAGCTTGTATTCCTGTTCCAGCATAACACCTGCAATAGCGTGAGACATGTACCACCTTTTTTTTTCTCCAATTATAGTCGTGTAATGCGGTGCTTGTGAATTGAAAACAGTGTGTTCAAGCTTTGTATTTCTCGCGGCGTCTGTAGCAGTAAACCGATGGAATAATTTATCTGCAGACATCCAGTTGGACCTACATATGTTCTTCCTTTTTCTTTTTGGCAAATGCACGTCCAGCACTCGAGCTTGTGCCAGTTTTGTGCTTGTGATTTGGTTGCCAAATCTCGAGTTCTTAGGGAGCCTTGCCAAACATCATGTCGTGTCATCCATTTCTTTGGTCCTTATTGGTTGCTCATATTTGTTTTCCCTTATTAGGGAATAAAAATTAATTTATAGATAAAAATTTTGTGTGTTCTTAGCGATTTAAAGCCAATGCTGAAAAACAAGCTGCGTTAAAAGTATTTTAAAATTAACTTCAAAATTAAGTTTGAAAATTTAAATTTTGGTTTTGGCTTTGACTTACTAGGGTAACAGATGAGGCTCTTCAGGTCGTGTCATCCAAATCGGCATGCTTCTGAGGTAGTTTTCATTTTAACGAAAATAAAAGAGTCGATATCCACACGATTGATCTCAAGCCAGTGAAATTAAGGAAAGTGTTTTTCAACACGGTGATTTCTTCCATGCCTGAATATGGAACGGAGAGTACTATTTTCCTGATTTTGCAGGCAGTGTCTCATCTGCCGACCGATAGGAAAATGGTACTCCATGGCTGATTATGTGTGTGTTTTTTTCTCTTGGCAACTAATACTCCAACTTCATTGACAATGCCATTATAATATTTGTAGTGTATATTTCTTCTATTGTCTGTTTTATCTCTTCCTCAAAATTTTCACAAGTTTTTGTTTCTCCTAGGCTGCAGCATATATTGCAATGAATTTAACCAATTCTCTAATACTGATACGTATTGCGATGATTGAGCTAATGTCTGCGTACTGCGTACTGGCATGTAGTTTCAGTTTAAGAGGTGACATCAAATTATCCTACACTAATAATGTGCTATTTTTGGCAACATTTTCTTCAGTAATATCAACACTCCGTAATCCGTATAATACAGTTCAGGGGTATGAAACTGAAACTGTTGGATTTGTTACTTGATGCGGATTTTGCAATTGTCACTTGTCAGCATTGAAGAGCTTAGATCTTAGTTCTCACTCTTAAATTGATTCTTGATCTGCTGTGCATGCATAACAGATTGCTTCCTTTCGAGATCCCTAGCTATTGTAATGCTGATATTAGCGTGGTAATTTTCATGCAAACAAAGACATGAAGACTAAAAGTCTTTTCACAAGGGTGATAACTACCAACTCGGTAGCTGAAACTCACCAAGAAACCAAAGAAACCAGTAATCCCACATCTCATCAGATTATTGTAGGGGCTCACTCCACATTAACTAACAAAAATGACAAAGGAACGCACCGAAAAAAATGTGGAGGATCAACAACCCAGTAGTACTGTTCAACATTGCTAAATCTAAGAGCTACTACAACTAAATTCGGATGCTGATACAGTTGATCCATCTTACAACAGCAGGACATGCCAATCCTAGAGATAGTACACAGCAAGGCAAGAATGTACAGAAAAAGTTTTAACATGGCTAATTGATACAGATCTTACAAACCAAATGGCATGCATATCTTGGAGCTTACAGCTTTACCTAGTGTTGCTCAGCAGTGCAATTGCTGGAAAAAATATACTGAGCAGGATTCCATTCAGTTCGGATCACCCTGATTATCTAGAAGCTTCACAGTAGCTACTGCATCTGAGCAACATCCATTCATCACCCTCATCTAGTTTGCTACAATAAGCTCATCAAGCTTTTCGGCTTCAGCATTCTGCGGCTGCATCGTCAATTCATCGTCTGCAGCGCTAAAATGGTATTTCTCTCCAATAGCTCTCATTAGCTGGTAAACCTCAAACATTGTCGGTCTTTCCTTTGGAGCGGAAAGCACACACGAGCATGCAACCTTCATGAATTGAAGCAGCTCAGCATCATGATCCTTTCCAATCAAGGACTTATCAACTGCATCCTGAAGGATAGCATTGTTTGACAGGTATGTTATCCAATCCACCAAACTTCCTTTGAAGTTTTCCGGGGCATTTTTCACCTGTGTGGGCTCTTCACCAGTGACAAGTTCAAGCAACACAACTCCAAAGCTATAAACATCCCCTTTTGGAGTGGCCACGAGGGTACGTGCATACTCAGGAGCTACATACCCCAAGTCTCCAAATTCACCGTTGACAAATGTGCTCAGGTGGGTGTCGATGGGGTTCATAAGCCTTGCCAACCCAAAATCAGAAATTTTAGGGTCATAGTCATCATCGAGTAATATGCACTTCGAACTAATGTTCCGGTGAAGGATGCGGGGATTGCAACTGTGGTGAAGCCATGCCAAACCTTTAGCAGACCCAATGGCAATTTTGAGCCTCAATGGCCACTCCAATGCCTTTTTCTCACTAGTCTGTTGGTGTAGCTGATCATAGAGTGAACCCTTGGGCATATACTTGTATACCAAGAGCCTCTCTTTCTTAGCAATACAATAGCCTAAAAGAGGAAGTAAGTTGCGCTGCCTTACACTTCCCAATGTTGACATCTCAGATGCAAATTGACTCTCGGAATGTTGAGTATCCTGTAGCCTCTTGATAGCAAGGAATGAACCATCTGGGAGTGTAGCTTTGTACATAGTTCCTGATCGACCAGATCCAATAATATTATCCTTAGTAAAATCACCTGTTGCCTTCATCAGATCATTTAACTTCATCTTTGCAACTGATTTCTCAAACATGGATACCTGAATAAAAAAAAAGGTTGAAAATCCATCAAACAATACTGTTTCTGTAGGTGAATGTGCTGACTAATCAAATATTATCAGGTCTGATGCTAAAAATAAATCCCTAAGCGCTGTACTGATAAAATATACAATTAAGTTTCTTTAGAGATGGGTGGGAACTGGGAAGAGGGTGCCACTTGATAACAGATTGGGAAAATAGAAACATGCTTTGGACATTAATATACCATCAATTACGAAAGAGAGATTGTATAACAATAAAATCTTTGTTAAGTGGTTATTTCGTGGCATGAAAATATGTTAGTATGCTTAGCGAGTTAACCAATACCCACAATTTTTGAACATCTGAACAAGTACAGGCACCTATTAATTCTTAAATCCCAAGAACAAAAGCGTGATTGGAAAAGACAATAACTGCCACCACCAGAAAATAACCAAGTTTCATAAATTGGGAAGAGTAACAAGGTGAATTCAAATAGATAGATGTGCACGCTCAAAAATACACCACAATTCCAAAATGAGAAGTATACCTTCGCTCCTTTTGCACTCTTGATATTCTTTGCCCACTTATTCTCTTCCAAATCCTTTTCCTTCTTCTTGGCAGGCATTTTCCGCAAGAAAATGAACAGGATAACACCAACTATTATAAACATTATAACTGCACCACCAACAGCAGAACCAATAATGACCCCTGTACGGCTGCTTGAAGTGGCAGTGCAATCATTGCTCAGAGGTCTCCCACAGAGGTCTTGATTTGCAAAATTGGATGACGCGAATTTGCCGAAAGATGAAGGTATCGGCCCTGACAGTTGATTGTTGGCAACATTAAACTGGCTTAGGCGAGATAGAATACCAAGCTGCCCTGGGATTGCTCCAGTTAATTTGTTATTTTGCAAATTGACAATATTTAGATAAGTACAATTAGCTAGGGATTCTGGAATCTCCCCTGAGAAACTATTATAAGATAGATCAAGGTTTGTAATGAATGGCAGCTGTTTTGAGATGTCAGCTGGGATTGGACCGGAAAGGCTGTTGCTCGAGAGATCCAGTGAAGTCATGCTACTACAATTCTCAAGCCCATCAGGGAAATGGCCCTTAAGACCCATGCTGCCAAGATGAAGAGAAAGAATCTTGTTTTCATTAGGATGCCAGCACTCCACGCCATTGAATCCGCATATAGATCCCTCAGTAGTGTTAGTAAATGTCCATTCCAATTTATTGTTTGGGTCAACTGATTCCTTCAGTCTCTTTAGGCATTGGATGTCACTTAATGTGCCATAGCATGGCTGACAAAGCATATAGCAGAAGAGAAGTTGGATGATAATAGTAATGGAACACTTGACAGACATCCTGGTGTGCTCTACTTCCTGAACCCCTTCAACATCCAAACTTGAGAATGAAGCTCTTGGATGCCTACATGGAAACATAAGAGAAAATAGTGTGAACATTCACAAGAATACTCATACAGAGTTTACCAATGCATAAGAACTAACGTTTAGATTTGTAGCACATCAGACTATAGCTAAATCACACGTAACACACACATTGATACTGTGGCTCATCGAGGCATCAAGTACATCATTCTTGCTAGCCAAACTTATTTAAGATATATACAAGGCATGAAGGCAAGTGGATTAAATGCACCATGGATCTATACAAAATAAATGCTGGAACCGAAAGATAACAACAGCAAGAGTTCTTTTTTTTTTGGTCATCGACCAGACCACAGCTTAACATGAAAAAGCTCTCACCAATGGTCAACAACCAACTAGCACTAGGACATGCAACCTGGATCACCTAACGAGCAAAACAGGAGCATCCCCGTCAGCAGGAATTCGATCCGATACTAGCAGCAGAGCAAATCAGGGGAAAAGCGGAAATCGACATCACTATGAACAGCTAAATACAGAGCTAATCAGGAGGAGGTTTGACTTTGACCAAGAAACAGCTAGGTCGCGAGAGGCCGGTGGAGGTAAAGAGAATACCACAGTCCCCCGCACCACGCCGGCGGTCACGCAGCCGAGAGAGCTCGCCGTCGCAGCGGCCGCCGCCCGATCCCGTACACCTAGGCCGCGGCCTCCCCCGCAGTCGACCTCGCGCTCGCCGGCTGCAGCCGAGCCGCGCGTGGATCCCCGAAGATCGGGGCTAGCCGTGGGCGCCCGAGCTCGCCTGGCCGCCGATCCCGGCCGGGGAGGGGTCGCCGTCCGGCGGCGGTGAGGTGGGGGCGTGAGGGTTTGGAGCGTGGACTGGAGTGGGGTGGGGTGCTTTGGTCTGGTGCGACGGATTTGATGTGATGACGATGTGGAGAGGAGGGCGGAGGGCCGTTGGATGATGATGGTTTGGGTTAGTCAACTGATGGTGGATTGTGATAGTTCAGTCAAAAAGAGGAGCTCAGCTGTTTGTTTGTTTGTTTTTTTTTTGTTCTGGGTGAGGTAAGCTGTGATGAATGGTTGTTATTACGCTAAATTTGGTTGGTTTTATATAACTAGCATGGTGGCCCGCACAGATTACGCTGCTATTATCATTATATTTTTTTCTCATATAATAGCATATATGTTTTCTCATTATATTATTCAAATATATTAAAATGACAACATAATTTTAAATTTTGCAATAACTTTATAAAACTACTAATGTGTAATATTCATATTATATTTTATATACGTGTTAGTTATTAATTATTTTTAATATCAAATTTTAGTTATTTGTAAATTATATATATTCCTATATGGACTCTACACTCGTCTTTTAATATATTTTTTTAAAAAATTCTAAATTTTCTGTAAATTATATTTCTATATAGACTCTATACTCTACTTCTAATATCCCTTATTTTTAATTTCGAATTTCAGTTATTTCCTAATTGTATTTATATATGGACTCTATACTCTATTTCTAATATTCTTTATTTTTAATTTCGAATTTCAGTTATTTCCTAATTGTATTTCTATATGGACTCTATACTCTACTTCTAATATTTCTTATTTTTAATTTCGAATTTCAGTTATTTCCTAATTGTTTTTCTATATGGACTCTAGCCTCCTCTTCTAATATTTCTTATTTTTAATTCCGAATTTCAGTTATTTTCTAATTATATTTCTATATGGACTCTAGTCTCCTCTTCTAATATTCCTTATTTTTAATTTCGAATTTCAGTTATTTCCTAATTGTATTTTAATATGGACTCTAGTCTCTTCTTCTAATATTCCTTATTTTTAATTCCGAATTTCAGTTATTTCCTAATTGTATTTCTATATGGACTCTAGTCTCCTCTTCTAATATTTCTTATTTTTTAATTCCGATTTCAACTATTTCTAAATTGTATTTCTATATGGACTCTAGTCTCCTCTTTTAATATTCCTTATTATTTAATTTCGAATTTCAACTATTTTTAAATTATATTTCTATATGGACTCTGTTTTTTCTTTTTCTCCGATTAATATGAGAATTTCTAGGCCATAAGAGCGACCGTGGAGGCTTCTTTTTCTATTCCTTTAATTATATAATAGATAGATTGGCGAATGTTTATGTACTTTAGCCATGAAAGTGGGCAGTTCTATTATCCATATAAAAACACGTACAAATGCATAAATGGGCAGTTCTACTCTCCATATAAAAACATGCTTGGTGGTTTATTTTTTACATGGTAATATAAATTTTAGAAAAAAAAATATAGATAGGATAAGCGAGAAAAAGAAGCACACTTGCATCCCCGGTGCACACATAAATGTGTATGGTTTGGCTTGGGATTGTCAAGTCTATCATAAATCGTTATTCTCGAAAACTTTTCCATAAGGGCATCCACAACGTTGCATGCAAAGCCACCTTAAAGAATAAAGTAGTATTTTTTCTACCTTTATGCATTGGGAGAGGAGAAAGTAAAAATATGGCTATAACCAACCTTAAGGTTAGACCATAAGAAATAAAAAAATATTTCATACCTTTTGCACCACGCATGATGCTCTTTATGTTGAATAGAGTTTTTTCATGAGTGGGTCCCAGCTTAATATCAAGAAAAAGCTATATATATTGTAGCATATGTTATATACAAAAGAACATAAGAATGTGGGTCCCATCTTATTGCTCTAGTGACCTTAACCATTGAGAATGCCCTAAGAAACTTTCAATTCTGAATCAGAATTGGCCATATAAAATTTCTGCTTACACAGAAGAGGATAATGCGGTGGGAGAGAAAAAAAAAAGAAACATGCACGCATCCGCCCATCAATTTTTGGTATTTTCTGTGGATTAGTAGTTTAAGGCCGGGGTTTTATGTGACTAAGTATTAATTTGGCATGAATCATGATAAGTTCATTTAGGATGATACCTTTCCTGCCATCCTATTCATCGGATTAAGTTGTTTATTTGTTTGGGCTTTATTCTCTTTTTTTTTTAATAAGATGGCTCGTAAGCCTAAATAAAGAGGAGCTCATCAAGATAATGAAAACACTATTATCAAAGATACCTATGCTTGTAGATGGAGATGTGACTTCTTCTAGTAAAATGAATATGGACAGATCACATCCTATATTATCCTATATTATGTTGAGTTCTTTTTTGGATGAAGTACAAATCAAAGATTTATTTGGATCACAATCTTAAATAACAACACTTTAGGACGAAGGAAGAAAGTAGGTAGCAAATTAACCAGACGAATGACCAGTCAGTAGAGTACAAACAGCACGAATAAGCGGCAGTAGGTTAACTTTTCGTTATTTTTAGCAATCGGATATTTCAATGCACTCATTAGGTATAGCTTGTACATGGACAACACACAAAAGTCAGATCACATCATTCCTACATTTACATAGTTGTTCGATTCATAATCAAGATCATAAGCCCTATTTGTTTGACACATTCAATTATATACTATTAGAATATATTATATTACTAAAGTATATGATAGTTAAATTTGTAATACGATAGGATTGATTGTATCCTATCCTTTCTTATCTCTATCCATATAATCTCTATATATACTGGTCATATATACAGGACTCAATACAACGAATCCAATATATATTACAAAGTAATCTAATTCCTCCTATACTATATTAAACAACTATACCGTATGTTTTCATTTCTTCATGATATATAGTGCTAGTTTCTTTTAAGTAATTTATCTGCTCAGTACAATTACAAAAGAACCATAGCAGAACGTCCAGCTAAGAAATGTCAGCCCATTCAAAAAATAAGTACTCTCTTATTAATATAACACTTCTACTATACTTACTCCATCCCAAAATATTTGACGCCGTTGATTTTTTTAAAAATGTTTGACCGTTCGTCTTATTCAAAAAATTTAAGTAATTATTAATTCTTTTCCTATCATTTGATTTATTGTTAAATATAATTTTATGTATACATATAGTTTTACACATTTCATAAAAGTTTTTGAATAAAACGAACGGTCAAATATATTTAAAAAAGTTAACGGCGTCAAACATTTAGGGGGAAGGAGAGAGTATTTTGAAAGACACATTAGTATCATGGATGAAACCACAAATATGCATAATCACGAACAATTTTCCGTCGCCCGCGGTCAAACCGTCTCTCCTACACATTCATCTGTACGGCAAGCAATCCGTACACACCACGGCATTCTGTACGGCCGCTAATCTCATTCCATTCCGTGCATCCGATCCTTCCCGCCATTGAAGCGCGCGAAGCCGCCGCGCAATCCTTCACCCCACACTCCTACCTAGCCGATCACACGCACTCCGATCGAGGCACCCCAACATGGCCGCGCCGCCCGCAAATCAACGCAAATGCAAGAAAGATCGCCATTAAATACGAGCAATCTCGCAGCCGATCCCGTCTCTGGATCTCCCTCTCTCTCGATCAGCTTGAGATCGAGCAGAGGAGATGAGCGTCATCACGGTGGTTGTGGTGGTCGGCGTCGTCCTCGCGCTCGCGGCGGCGGCGTCAGTAATGGCGGCGGAGTACAGCGTGGTGGACTACGGCGCGCGGGCGGGCGGGAGGGCGGACGCGGCGGGGGCGTTCCTGGCCGCGTGGGCGGCGGCGTGCGGCGACGACGGCGAGCGGCCGGTGATGCGCGTCCCCGCGGGGACGTTCCTGGTCGGGCGGGCGTACTTCCGCGGGCCCTGCCGCAGCGCCGGCGGCGTGGTGCTCGCCATCGACGGCACCGTCGTCGCGCCGCCGGCCGTCGGCAACGCGTCGTGGATCACGTTCCACTACGCCCACGGCCTCGCCATCCGCGGCGGCACGCTCGATGGCAACGGCCACGCCTTCTGGGCGTGCAAGGCCGCCGCCGGCCGCCGCTGCCCACCAGGCACCACAGTAATTAATTTCTTTCAAATATTCAAACCCATACTGTGTTTCACGTTTGAATTTGTTCGTAAATTTGATCGAATTTGGCTTTTAGACGCTGGACATCAGCCAGTCGAACAACGTGTCGGTGAAGCGGGTGACGCTGGTGGACAGCAAGAACGTGCACGTCTCCATCTTCGACTGCGCCGGCGTGACGCTCCAGGGCGTGCGGATCGCGGCGCCGGCGGACAGCCCCAACACCGACGGCATCCACGTCGCGCTGTCCCGCGACGTCGCCGTCCTCAGCGCGACGGTGCGCACCGGCGACGACTGCGTCTCCGTGGGGCCCGGCACCTCCGGCGTGGCCATCCGCAACATCCGGTGCGGCCCCGGGCACGGGATCAGCATCGGCAGCCTCGGCGGGCGCGCCGGCGAGGGTGAGGTCCGGAACGTGACGGTGGAGTCCGCGTCGCTCGCCGGCACGCAGAACGGCCTCCGGATCAAGACGTGGGGGAAGCCCTTCGCCGGCCGCGTCTCCGGCGTACGGTTCGCCAACGTCGCCATGCGCGACGTCCAGAACCCCATCGTCGTCGACCAGAACTACTGCCCCGGCAACGTCAACTGCCCCGGCCAGGTAACCACAAACATAGGATATTTTTTTTTCTTTTTTCTTTTTGAAATTTTAAAAATAAATCTTCCAAAACTTTTTTTAAAATATGAACCTTTTGGCTACCCTAGCCCGTTTGACATAGTAAAATAACACAAACAACTGTACAGTTTTATCTTACCATCAATTAGGATGGTGTGACCAAATAACATTGTCACTCTAATCAATCCGGCGTGGCCAAATAACACTATCACATCAGGTAAACTGGACGTTTGTCTGGTTGGCATGGTCAAATGATTCATATCTTGTAAATAATTAAGTTTTGAAAGAGTTTATATTTTTAAAATTAAAAAAGTTCAAAAAAATAAAAATAAAAATCCAAACCTAGCTTGTTGCTAGCAACACGCCATGCTTGAGCTTGGAGCTCGGTGCGTGTGAGCTGATCGGGCGCCATGGCTGATGATCAACAGAGCTCGGGGGTGAAGATCAGCGACGTGGAGTACGAGGGAATCACGGGGACGTCGGCGACGGCGGTGGCGGTGAGGTTCGACTGCAGCGGGAGCAACCCATGCACGGGGATCAGGCTCAGGAACATCAACCTGACGTACGACGGCGGCGGCGGCAAGCCGGCGAGGTCCTTCTGCAAGAACGCCGGCGGGTCGGCGTCCGGCGTGGTCATCCCACCGAGCTGCCTCTGACCGGCGACCGCACGGCACGGCACGACGCCGCCGACGTACGGCAGCAAGCGTACAATGGTTGCATCTACATGTGAAAATCTTGGTGATTTGCGACGGAAAAAGCAAGCCATATTGGTTGGTGTATCCGGAAGCTACGACGGCCGGCCCTAGTAACGGACTAACGGGCGGATTAAGCCACTCTCTTGGATTTTTGCAAAGAAAGCTAAAGTATGCTCAAAATATTCCAAATTATTAATATAAAAACAGAGTATTACGTAGCCACGTAGGCTTTCTAGTTCTTGAAATTTCTTTTTTTGCCAAATGTGAAGGATTACCCAACGGGGAAACCAGTTGCATGTTATCAAAACAAATATTCCGGTATCAAATATGGTTTCTTTATTAAGCATAAAAAAATTGAATTTTAAAACTTAAGTTTAACTAGATTTGATTTTGAGTTTTTCTGTTTGTAGTTAATTTTTCAGCATTTACTTTTAAGTCATTGAGGAACACAAAAGTATTACTTATAAAAACTTTTACGCTAACAGCCGTTTCACCTAAGTACTGTGAGCGAAACGGTGATATGATATTTTCAGACTTTCTATAAATTTTGAGATAAACGAGTAGCCTTGTCGCCCAGGCCTGACTCTGCATCTTCTAATGGATTGTCGTGCTAAGCTCATGCCAAAGCTTGAGTGTCCGGAAAAAAAAGAACAAATGTTTCGAATGTTTCATGCATGTGCCTCTGCAAAATTGTCCTGAGCGGTCAGCCGATAATATCTGACTTTAAACCGCTCCAAAATCATGGTTAATAATGCCAATGATTAATTGAAAGTGAACCGGAAGCTCGAGACTTTTGGTTGAGAGTGGATGGGATATCTTTAGGTGGAAGTTGTTCTGCCTTTAATTTCAGTTTAAGTTTACCCAACTTTACTCAAAAGCTGTCGCGCTTTCCACATGAATGTCAAATTAATTTCCGTCTGAAAGTCCGAGATATATCACTTGAAACTAGGTTCGCTTTTAGTTAGCAGAAACGATCAAATTCCAAACGGACAACGCCGCTGACCATACACCATCAGTTTACAGGGTAATACTCCCTCCGTCACTAAATATTTAACGCCGTTGACTTTTTTAAATATATTTCACCATTTATCTTATTCAAAAACTGTTGTGAAATATGTAAAACTATATGTATACATAAAAGTATATTTAACAATGAATCAAATGATAGGAAAAGAATTAATAATTACTTAAATTTTTTGGATAAGACGAACGGACAAACATGTTTAAAAAAGTCAATAACGTTAAATATTTAGGGACGGAGGGAGTAAGAGCAAGTTGTGTAGAATAGGCAATTATCACCTCTAATTTTATTCTTGTAAACTAAAAGATAATTTGTACAATCTATCACCTTAATATTTTTATTTTATTTGTTTGTTCAATTCACCTTTTATTTTCACTACTTTTTCTTGGAGTTTGTCTGAAGATTGCCCTAAGTGAGCAGGGCCGGACCTGAAATTTTAGTGTAGAGCGAGATAAAAATTGAGACCCTACGATAACTAGCATTTGTATATATAAATATGACTAAACTTTTCATACTATACGGGAGACACACATGTGCACATTACTACACACAAGTCTACCCCTAACATACACGAAGACCAATTTCACATCCGTAGCCTGAATAAATTCTTATTGAAAGTCCACTTACGTGTGCTTAATGTATATGGGCAATAGGATTTGAACCCTAACGGGTGGCCTTTTATTTTAAATAGAATGGAATGTTTAACTTTAACACATCACTAAACATAAACTATTTGTTAGGTGATAATTGAATAGAAAAACAAATTAACTATAAAAAGGAATTATCAACACCAAACTTTTCAAGTGTATAATATCTGTTATGGCCCTAAAATTTAAAAATCACGCAATCTGTAGAAAATTAGTGCAGTGCTACAAGAGAAATGAATCAATCATGGAAATTATGCTATAGATTACTAAGGCACTAACTAACATGGCCATCTCGTAGAACAAATAAAAATCATCGAACTATTATCTTTTTTTTGTGTGTTCAAGGGATTTTAACCATACTACCTCCATCTCAAAATAAACCAAGCTGAGTATGAATGTGACAGTAGATAGTACAATGAATCATATCTAGATTTGTTGTACTGTCTAGTATCGCATCCCTACCCATGTTGGTTTATTTGTGATGGAAGTAGTACATACATATAGCATAATATATATATAAGAACCTAACTCTCTTTCCAAGAGATAACTAATACTCCATCCAAAAAAAAATCTAGAAGGGGACATAAGTACAATGAATATGAGGTTTTTTTTTCCTGAGGAAGTACAACATAAAGCAACATGTACTTACAAACCCAAACTATATATGCACACTTAGCTACATATAGTTTGGTTGGGGGGGGGGGGGGTGCTTAACGCCTGGGGCCATGACGGCTGCACTGCCCGCCCTGCCCCAAGGATGACTTATATATGAGGGATGACTTATATATGCGCCGCCGCCACTGCCAAGGTTGTCGTCGTGTGCCGCCAACGCCTTCAAGGAGTCCGGCAAGTCACCAACATCCGGATTTGACGAGCCTGCGTCCAGATCCGGCGAGTTCGTCTGCGCCACCGCCACGAACTCCACCGCACAAGCTCGTCGCTTGCCAAGGTCATGGCCGGATCTAGCAAGATTGCGTCCGAATTCAATGAGGTCGTCTGCGCCACCGCCGAGGACTCCACCGCATGAGCTCATTGCCCACCGAGATAACGGTCAGATCAGGTGAGCTCGTTGTCTCATCGCTGCCGTGCCCCCCTCGGTCCGTCACGAGGAGAGGGGAGAGACTAGAGAGCTCCAGTTCGCTGGCGGAGAGAGGAGAGAGCTCGAGCTCGTAGCCCTCTGCCACGGAGCTTGACGCCCCGATCAGTGTAGCCGAGGGAGGGTAGAGGCAGTGCTGCCACCGGCGGTGAGCGGAGTGGGAGGGGAGGAGTTGGTGGCGTCTGGTGGCTTTGATGGGGAAAAGGAGTAGGGGAGGGGAGGAAAAGGAGATAGGGGCTGACAAGTGGGACCGACAGGAGATCAGGGGTATATTTGTGTTTCTTTTTGTTGTCATAGAGTCCAATTATAAAAAAAATCAAGGATTTAATAATAAAGTTTTACAAGGGCCGACATGTAAGAAACTAAGGACTAAAACACAAAAAACACTCAAGGGTGGCTTCCATTGTGGGAGTTGTGGTCTTTAAGTGGTCTTATCTTGCATGTCACATCGAGACCACTCGTAGCAGGAGGATTAGGCGGCGGGGGAGCTCGGCGGCGGAGGATTTGGCGGCCAGGTAGCTCGGCGTCGGCCGGCGGGGCGCCGTCGCTTCACCACCTCCGCGGGCGAGCTCTTCTCGTCGCCGCCGGATGGGATGGCGAACTCGGCACAGATCTGGTACGGATTCAGCGCCCCTACTCCTCTCCCTCTCCGGCGAGCTTCTTCACTCTCTCTCTCTCTCGCTCTGTGGCATGTGCTTTTCTCTGACAAAATTTGCTGAGGTTCTCGGAGCCAAAACTAGCCACGCGAACCTGGGGAAAACGTGGGCCCCACCTCCTTCTCTCCTCCACGCGTACATTGGGCCAACGTGGATGGAGATTGCCACACGACACCTCACCGCACTGTAAGTGGCCTTATACATGCCCTAAGATTCGTAGCACCAAGGCCTAGAGGGAACTGAGAAAAGAAGGTAATGTCCTGCAAGGCTGCACTGCACTGCAAGCTCCTGAAGTCCTGCCTAACCTTGCTGTGCACCCGTGCACACGAATAAGTGGCGTAGCAACTGGTCCACACATTAGCAGCAGTACATAACATTGCCTAATCTTACAAGTAATTGCCCCTCAAACCACTCATGGCACACACGTCCAAGACAGTTTTGAAGGCCACATCAACGTGTCGCTTTAACACAACCAACTCTTGTTGCATCGCACCAGCAATCGCATCGCAAGCTTATCTTCCCCCACCACCCAATGCCGCGCCGCGCTCATGCTCATGCCGCCGTCGCCGCGCACTTGCTGGTGTCGGCGTTCGTTGCGGCGGCGGCGGCGGCGGCGGCGACGTACAATGTCATCGACTATGGCGCGGTGGGCGACGACGGCGGGGTGACGGACAGCGCGCGGGCGTTCGAGGCCGCGTGGGCGGCGGCGTGCGCGGGCGACGCGGCGGCGGCGGCGGCGACGGTGGTCGTGCCGGCGGGCGGGGTGTACCTGGTGTCCAGGGCGAGGTTCGCCGGGCCGTGCCGGAGCGGCGCGGTGGCCGTGAACATGACGGGCGCCACGGTGGTCGCGCCCGTGCCGTACGCCGGCGTGCAGCTGTGGATCGTGTTCCAGGACGTGGACGGCGTGTCCGTCGCCGGCGGGACGCTGGACGGCCGCGGCCGCGCGCTCTGGGCGTGCCGGCGCGCACGCCGCCCCGACTGCCCGCCCGCCACGAGGTCGCTGACGATATACCGGTCGAGGAACGTGGCGGTGCGCGGGCTGACGTCGCGGGACAGCGCCGGGATCCACATCACCGTGCAGGCGAGCGCCGGCGTGGCGATCGTGGACACGGTGGTGTCGGCGCCGGGGCGCAGCCCCAACACCGACGGCATCCACATCAAGCAGTCCACCGGCGTGACCGTCCGCAACGCCGTCATCGGCACCGGCGACGACTGCGTCTCCATGGTCGAGGGCTCCTCCGACGTCCTGATCGAGGCCGTCACTTGCGGCCCCGGCCACGGCATCAGGTGAGCGACACAGCCGAAATCCATGTCGTCTGCTCGAAGATGCTCAGAGAGAGCTCCATTGCTGTGTTGTGTGGCAGCATCGGGAGCCTGGGGGACACGCCGGAGCAGGTGGCGGTGCGGAACATCACCGTGAAGGGCGCGGCGCTCGCCGGGACGACGAACGGGCTGCGGATCAAGACGTGGGCGAAGGCGAACGCCGGCGCGGTCGCCGGCGTCTCCTTCTCCGGCGTCGTCATGCGGAACGTCAGCAACCCGATCATCGTCGACCAGAACTACTGCCCCGGCAACGCCAGCTGCCCAACCGAGGCACGCAGCCCTGAAACCTGTGACCTCGTCGCGCCATCGCCATGGATGCCGACGTCGTAATGGCTTCTCTCTCTGCTGTGTGTTCAGGGGTCGGGGATCGAGATCAGCGGCGTGTCGTACACGGACATCGAGGGGACGTCGGCGACGGCGACGGCGGTGAGGTTCGACTGCAGCCCGAGCCGGCCGTGCGCCGGGATCGCCATGAGGGACGTCCGGCTGAGGTACCAGCCACCGGCGGCGGCGGCGGAGGAGGAGCAGCCGGCGGCGTCGTTCTGCCGGAACGCGCACGGGGTGGCGTTTGGGGACGTCGATCCACCGAGCTGTCTAACCGAGTAGAGATCAAAATGTTGGTTGACTTTTGTCAGAGACGGTTGACTAGCTTCCGTCAAGATCAAGAAACGTAAAGCGTGACAGTTGCCTGACGAGTCAATATTTTATTACGGGTTGTTACGAATACAGAAAGAGGAAAAGAAAAACTTTATATGGGCCGGCTCATTTGTGCCCGCCATTTCTAGCCACGAGGGGCCTCACGGCCTGGTCAATGCATTGACGGGAAGCCGAAAAGTCTTTGGCGATTTCTTTTTCCCCTTTTTCATTTCGCGCGGCAACATGAGCTTTTCGCTTCGCGGGCACTTCGAAATTTCAGAGCCCCAGACGCGGCACCGCGGCAGAGCGGCATCTTCTTCTTCCTCCTCGCGACTCCCACCCTCCGGCCTCGGTCGCCGCCATGGCCGAGACCCCCGACGAATCCGCGGCCGCAATCGAGGTACGCCGCCTCAAGGCATTCCCCTTCGATCTCCTCCTATCCTCCCAATCCTTGCTTCTTCAATGCTATCCCGTCGACCGCCGCTCGCCGGCTCAACCGATTGGCCTTTCGGGATGCTCTTACCCTCACGATGGCGATTTTTTTTTTGGTCCTGCAGGCGCGAGGATGGAGCTCGCACCCGTTCTCGTTCCCTTCCCGTAGGTTCCCTTGTGTTCCCTGACAGATTGTAGCATTTCTTGATACGGCAATTTTGGATCTTCCGATCTCATTTTCGGTGTTGTTCGTCAGAGCCGCCGGATATCAAGAACTGGTTCTCGAGCTATGAGTACGAGTCGCCGGAGGTGCCGGAGCTGGTTGGTGGCAATGGCGGCAATAGCGGCAGCGAGACCCAAGACCCGCTGGAGGTAAAATGTTGCTGCAATTTTTTCTTTTTGGTCAGATCATGCTCGATTTGCTTCTATTTATCTTGCTACCCATTCTCACAAATTATTACAATCCAATTTTTTTTCTCAGAGATTCCTATCCAAATTGACTTCCTTAAATTCATATTTTGTTCTAGAATATCCAGGTCGGGGTGCCTGTGGATTCGTTGTTGGAACCGACCACCCATGATGGTGATGGTGATGGTGATGGTGATTCTGCTTTGAGGGGAAACCAATGTGGACAGCAACACGAGCATGAGGTTTCTGCTATTAGAGAGTTCATTCCCATTAGTAAGAGCAAAGTGGAGCGTGGCACGAAGAGGAAGCAAAGCTTGCGGAGCTTGTTCGGAGATGGCTTTCTTGACAACATCGGTGAGACTTCTGAAACTGAAACTCAGGCGGTGTTGTCTGTTCAGAGAAATGAAGCCGAGCCTCTGCCAGATCGCAATGCCATGGGCTTGCCTGATGATGATGATACTCAAGGAGGTCAGGAAGGCGCGATCGAATGCAGTGAGCTGCCGGTGGATTGTAATGGCATCGATGTAGGTGATACTCAAGAAGGTTCCCAGGTTGATCAGGAGAAAGAGCAGAGCAAACTGCTAATTGGTGATGGTATGAGTTCATGTCATGCTGACAAAATCACCCCGAAAGATGGTAATGAGCAGAGCAAACTGTCAGTTGATTGTACTAGAACATGCAAGGATCGCACCAAAAGGCGGTTTGACGGAAATGGCATTAAGAGCAGCCTACCATCCATCGGTTGTAATGATATCATCATACCTAACACTGAAGAAAATTCTCCAGGAGAAGAAACTTGCCATGGCAACCCTGCAATGGATGACAAAGAGCAGGAAGAAACAGTTGCAGCTGATGGTTTTGTTGCCATCAAGAGAAAGGAGAAACTAGAACAAACATTCAACACAAACAAAATTCCTAAGCCCCCAACGAGAAGAGCGAAGTCCACGACGTTGCAAGAGAACCGTGACATTGTGGAACAGAAAGTCGTAGTCCAAGAACGCACTAGCAGAAGCCCCTTAGCAGACATGACTAATGTTTCAGAAGTAGCAGCTGCTCCAACAACGACAGAGATCCGCGGTAAATGGAAGTGCCCTCGCAAAGGGAAGCACTATGTTGGTCCTCCGTTGAAACAGCTGCGTTTGGGGCAATGGTTGCGCCGACTGGATTGAAGCATATGCATTGTTCAGGTTGAAGCAATTTTTCCTTTTGTATTGGCAACTGGTGATTTGGTGCCATGTTTTCAGGTTTGGTGTTTTTACCCAGCCTGTTGTACGAGTGCATGCCACTATATATGTCAGGCAGAAAACACTATATGCCTGCTTCTATGGTCATCTATCTATCTATTATCTATTTATCTATCTACTCCCTCCGTTTCGAAATGTTTGACACCATTGACTTTTTAGCACATGTTTAATCGTTCGTCTTATTCAAAAACTTTTGTGAAATATGTAAAATTATATGGCTACATAAAAATATATTTAACAATGAATCAAATGATAGAAAAAGAATTAATAATTATTTAAATTTTTTGAATAAGACGAATGGTCAAACATGTGCTAAAAAGTCAACGGCGTCAAACATTTCGAAACGGAGGGAGTATTATATTATTAAACAGCTTTGAAAATAGGCACCACGTTCGCTGTGGGGGCTAGAAATTCTCACATTAATCGGAGAAAAAGAAAAAAGAGTCTAAGTAGAAATACAATTTAAAAACAGCTGAAATTCGGAATTAAAATTAAGCAATATTGAAAGAAGAGTCCATATAAGAATCTAACACAAGAGTAATCAAAATTTGGATAAAAATAAAAATAAAATCCGAAATTAGAAAAAAAAGTCCAAGTATGAATAAAATTTAAAAATAACTTAAATTCAGAATTAAAAATAAGAAATATTGAAATAAGAGTTAATATAAGAATCCAATACGCGATTAATTAAAATTCGGAATAAAAATAAAATAAAATCTGAAATTAGAAAAAAAATAATAAGAGTTCACGTAGGAATACAATTTGAAAATAATTAAAATTCGAAATTAAAAATAAGTGATATTGAAAGAAGATTTCTTATAAGAAACCAATACGATACTACCTCCATCCCAAATTAGTGGTCGCTTTGACATTTTGCTTGGAATGTTTGACTATTCGTCTTATTTGAAAAATTAGTGCAAATATATAAAATGATAAGTTATACTTAAAGTAGTTTTGATAATAAAGCAAGCCACAAACAAAATAAACAATAATTCCATAATTTTTTGAATAAGACGAATGATCAAATATTATAAATAAAAACTCAAAGCGCCAGGTATTTTGGGACGGAGATAATATTAATTAAAATTAAAAATTAAAAATTAAAAATCAAATAAAATCCAAGAGTTCAAGTAGGAATACAATTTTGAAACAATTAAAATTTAAAATAAAAATAAGAAATATATTAAAAGAATAGTTTATATAGAACACAATACGAGATTAATTAAATTTCAAAATAAAAAGTAAAATAAATTCAGAATATAGAAAAAGAAAAATAAGAGCTCAACTAGAATACAATTTATAAATAACTAACATTTGTAAAAAAAATAAAGACTATTGAAATAAAATACAATCTAGAACACATGATGAGATTAATTAAAGTTCAAAATAATAAATAGAATAAATTTTAAAAAAATAGAAAAGTAATTATAAGAGTTCAAGTAGGAGTATAATTTATGAATAAAAGTTATCAGAATGAAAAATATGCAATTTTTTAAAATAGTTCATCTAGAACACAACGATGATAAATGACAATAAAGAGGGGAGAAGCAATAGGCAAGGAGTAGAGTGGTGGCAGTTGATGGTATATCTAAAAACTATAGACAAAACCCCAAATGGAATCCCAATAATGATTAAGAGGAGTGACGATAGGCATGCCGTTAAGCAGCATGGTCATGACGGTTAGCGGGACTTATGGAGAGTAAAAATAAATCCCATAATCATGTTCGATTTTTAAAATATCAATGACAATAAGGAGGGAAGGCAGCAGGCGGGCTGTAGAGGAGTATGGTGGTGAAACCACTAACGATTTGGAAAGACTTTTAAAATCCCAATGACAATAAAGAGAGGTGGCAGCGGACGGGCCGTAGAGTAGTAAATTGGCGATGTTTAATGATACTTCTAAAAATTATGAAAACGAAACCCAACAAGATAATAAACTCTAAAAACTATAAGGCTTAATTTTTAAAGTTCTAAAGAGGATAAATGGATGTAGTGGTAGATCGAGTAACCAAATGAAAAGGTGTCAAAGGAGCAAGGGGTAACGAATGATAATTTAAAAAAAATAATGTGTAAAAATAGATAATTAAAAATTGATGCAAGCCACGCAATTGCGTGGGACGCCCAACTAGTTATACATTAAAAGTCCATTAAATTTTCTACAAACACTCCTAGGTCGTCACATTGCACTCCTACAAATGCTCATAGGCAGCCACATGGTACTGTCTAATCTCACCGTCGATTTTCATTTAAATTAATGGACCCGTTATTTTATATCGTTAGATTAGATCTATATTGTCATCGATTTTCACTTAAATTGATGGACCCGTTATCTTGTACCAACAAATCCTTAATATATATAACAACTTAAAAAATTCATTACTTTTCAATCGGCTTCACGCATCGCTCCCAAATCCGGATCGTTTCCTTCGCCCTTCGTCCGTCTTGGGCTCTAGGCCTCGAGGGAAGCTTTCCTGCTGCTGCCTAGACTTGGATTAGGTTTCAAATCAGAGCCTCTACACAGATTAATCGATGGGGATAATAAGCTACATGAGACCGGGATTGTAAAGGGTTTGATTTTCAGTAGCTGGCAATGAAATCCACAGGCAGCAGCATATGATTTGGTGGTCGAGGTGAGGTTCCTGTTTGCGTGGTCTTTTTTTAGCCAAGCGTTTGCGTGGTCATCTGGAAGAAGGAGACTGCTCATGGTTAGGTCGTCTAGCCACTAGGGATGTCTAGGCGTCTAGCCAAAACATAATACTGCTCTATAATACTTGCACAGGAACTTCCTTCTTTATCCAAAGTTCTAGTACTAGAGCACTTAGTATGAATAATAAAAAATAAACCCACAAAGATGAAAATCTCTGCTACTTAGACTAAGTAATTAAATAGCATAAGAAATGATCTCGAATACTTGCTTTATAGAAGAAGACTCTCCGAACCCGGAGTAGAGTGTACCGACAGCTCCGGTACTACTCTAGAATTACTCATAGAAAGAAAGCTACACTCGTCGAGGTAGAAGTCGGAGAGAGCGCCAAACTTCCGGGCACTCCTCCAGAGTTTCTCCTCACTCTCTACCTATTTTCTAATGTACAAAAGATACAATAGAGCCTCTTGTAATTCAGCTCAAAGTTGTGTGTTTTGGAACGAGAGCCTCTCCTCCTTTTATAGGCTCCAGATGGCAGTTATAGCCATGGGAAATGACAAAAATACCCTTCAACCATCATTAGGGAGTAATCAGGGCTGTCCACGTGAAAGCAGATGGCATGATGCGCTAGGAAGGGTTCGGTCGAACCCAAAAACACTCCTCCTGGCCTCTCCTTCAGCTGGGAGGTTGCTTATTGGGCCCCTAACATTATGTACTATGTTTTGGTCCAATTCTAAGTGGTTTTTATTGACTTATTGGGCCTCCAATCTGTGTAAACGTGTCCTGATTGTTCGGAGGTGTATTTTGTCGCATGACGGATATGTTTTCTTTGTAAAATACCTGCATACACATATTTCACCAACACTAGTGGAAATTATTAGTAATAATCCCTACCACTAAGTTGGATATCATATTTTATCTCATTATATGCAGGCATTGACGGTCATAAATTATGATTTAAGGACTGTCAACACTTACACTTTCACAATAAGAGTCATCCTGACCGCGTACAACTTTAAGTAAGTCCAGTAGATTTTTTTGTACATATCTGTGTTATTTCATCCGTGACTAACTACAACGTCATTACTATGAAGCGATTATTACATCTGTTTCATTATCTACCCGAACTACGGCACCGTGACAATCTTGGACCCCCTTGATTATCATCACATGACGTACAAACAATTTCTAACAATCTTATAATAGTAAGTGATTCTAATACTCTTGCATGTCTACTAATAATGTATTAAAATTAAATCTCCTACTTAATATGAAACGGTAAAAAATCCATACAGTGCATACAACTACTACAAGAAGAAGGGTGGAGAGTAGATTCAAACAAGGGAGAAGCTGTTAGTATATACATATTGGCCGGTAATACTCCACTCACTTAATGTATTTCAATTGTTTTACTAATTACAAAACTTAACTATTTTCTTCTATGATATGTCATGAAGTGTCACAAGCAATCTAGAGGCACGGTCCTCTGCGGGTATTATGCATGCAAATTCCTCAGGGTTAATGGAAGATACATGGTTAATGCAGAGGATGTAAATCTCTTGACTCAATGTATAAGTGCATCGGAGAACTGCACATCTAGATGATACTAATATATTGTGCTTCTTTCATGCATGCAGTTGCCTAGAATAGAACTTCGAACAAGCTTTGACGATACATGCATTATAAATGTGCAGTGTGACCTCTACCACTTCATCCACCATGAGTGCTATCATGTCAAAGGACGATTCTTCGACGCAGAGAGCATTCTGGCTACAAGCGAAGCTTACAAGAATCTTCAGGAGTGGAACAACCGAACAACGCGATGCCATAATATAATTAGATAGTGTACTCGAAGTGACAATGTAAAAAATATTTTAACATTTTGATGACACTATTCACTTATGTAATATATGTATATTTGTCAGTATCAAATGTTTGTTAGTTACTAATATTATTTAAGCATCAATTAATTAATTAATTGGAACATTATTTATCACAAATTATTATTGTAACATTTTTTCAAATTTTTTACCTATTTTCGCAGGCGGCGTCATCTCATTTTTTCAGGCGGACTAAGATATATTTTCCCAGGCAGCGTGTCTAGCTCCAGTCCGCTAGGGAAAATGATCTTCCCAGGCGGACCTCCTACCCGACTGCGAAGATCGGCGTTGGTGTGCAGGCGGAGCCACCATCTGCCTAGGATGACGCATTTCCCCTGCATGGGAAAATGCTTTTTCTAGGAGTGTGATGGTGAACATTTACCAAATTCAACAGAAATTCTGGAGAATTATTTTGATGGGTAAAGAATTGTTAGACTATAAATTACAAATGGTATTTTTGGTACTGGTCCTTTCTGCAAAAAAAAAAAATCAAAACCGAAATTGATACCTGCAATGTTCGTACTCGAAATTTACGTCCCCTTCCATTTAATTAATTAGCTTCTTCATGGACTAACATATTTTCATTCAATGTGCTCAAGTTCAGCTTAGGCTGTCCTGGAAGTTTGTTTACTGAGCTCTTGATGGAAGCTTTAGCTGCTTCCAATTCTCCACCAGTCGACCCATTACAATCAAGTTGAATGTAGACATTTCTAAGGTTGGTAAGATATTGAATGCCAAAATCAAAGCTACCATTTGAAGACTTCGTGTTGAACACATTCATTATGACATCAAGGCATTCGAGCTTTAACAGACTTCCTGCGTCAAAGGTTAACCCTGCAGGATTGCAATAGAACTTGAAAAACTTGGTAGAATGGAATCCACTGATGATGATCCTCCCTTGAAGGGCAGTATTTGAGTATATGGTCAGAGATGACAGAGCAGGCATATGTCCTAGCAATTCGAAATCCTCCTGCCAAATTTTGTTGACATATAGGACTAACTCTTCAAGGTTGATCAGTGAACCCACCCAATTCGGAATCTTATTGATGGGGCACCACCGGTCAATGGAAAATCTTCTTAGTCTAGATGGAACAGGTTGCCATGTATCTAGTGAGAAGTTGTCTTCACCATATCCATTGATGTCAACAAAAAGGGAATGAAGGTTATATGTGCCTAGATTACATAAAGAAGAAGCTAAATTTTCCAAGCAACTTCCTGCATCACCTTTAAAGCTATCACAGTCACAAATTACTCGGAGCACCCTCATGTTTGTAAGCTGACCTAGTTCTTTCAGAAAGTCTGGAGAGTACATCAAGGCTGAGAAACTTGTTAGCTCTTCCAGTGCATGCATATTGCTGATTTCTTTTGGTAATTTAACATGATAATCAACGAATAAACGGACCAAACTCTTTAGTCTACCAATGGTTGATGGCAATTCTTCCACACCCGTAGCTCTTAAATCTAGTGTTTCCAGATATTGAAGCTGCCCAATTTGTTTCGGGAGTTCACTAATGGGTGATGTTCTTATACTCAAATACCGTAACTGGACTAGCCTTTCCAGGTTCGTAAGATGATGGTCTTCTAATGCATAACAATCTTCTAGGTCCAATACACGTAACATACCAAAACCTAAAAGAGATGGCATTTCTACAGCAAATAAAGTTAGTGACCGGACTTGCGATGTAACCAAGTGCGTTGATGTGACAATATTTTCTTGAATGCCGCCATTTTGAATAGATAATCGACGAACCTTACCATGTGACCTTGGTACCAATTTTGAACCACCAAATAATGTAACGAAATTTTCTTCAACTGACATGGACACAATAAAATCATGAACGGTGTCATCCACTCGACAAGCATTTGTCTGACCATCAGGCTTAATGTTTGCTGGTTGAATCAAGCTTCTGTTCACAAGCTCATTAAAATAACTGTCCCCCACTTCATATGGATTTTGTCCATGTTTTTTGTAAATGAATCCTTCAGCAATCCATCTACTCACCAAACGTTCCCTGTTTATCTCATAGCCCTCAGGGAATATACTCAAATATAACAGACATGTTTTTAAATGATTAGGAAGATCAGAGTAACTGAGTGATAGCACCCATTCCATGGTTTCAATGTCTGGAGTCCTTTCAAGCGTAGAGCTAAGAGAAACCTTGACCCTGTCCCATTGATCTTTTGACTTTGGTTTGCTTGCCAACAAACTTGATATGGAAATGATCGCCAAAGGCAAACCACCACATTTTTTCAATATTTCCTCAGAAACTTCTGTCAACTGCGGTGGGCGCCTTTCCTCTGGATCAAAAATTCTTTTGTCGAACAATATTTTGGAGTCAATAACTCCAAGAGGCTTCATTTCGTAAATATAATCGCCATGAGATGAACAGCACAATTTAGCAATATCATGTATACGTGTTGTTGTGATAATTCTGCTACCACGGCAGTTCTTGACCAACGCACATTCAATAAATTTCCATATTTGCATATCCCATATATCATCAACTATGACAATGTACCTGTGTAACACATCACATGTTTGAGTTATGCACGCACGGAGTTACAGTTTTCTGAGGAATAACCATGTACTACCTTAATTATTACATGTAAATAGGAAAATAAATCTCAAATAACTATTAATTCTTATATTAAAATGAGTGACAAAAAAACTAAAAAAAAAGTAAAAAGGGAGCATGAGCAATGGAGCTAGACGAAATTTTTATGCTTATCTGACACAAGTACAGATCCTTCCATCTGTGGCTGCCTCTAACATGCCTGGAATTAGCGGGCTGTCACAAGGAAGTTATCTCAATCGGGCCGATAAAGCGTCCGATTGAGATATGGTCGCACAGACATGTTAGATGGGTATAAAACTCAGGCCCGTCACGAATAAAATCTATTCGTGACAGGCCGTAGTTTAGGCCTGATTGAGATAACATTCCATATCTCAATCGGGCCTCAAGTTGGCTGTCATCCGTGACGGGCACCAACTTGGGCCCGATTTAGATACAAACTAGGCCCGATTGATATGACGGGCTCTATACTAATGCTCGATTGATATGACTTAATCTCTATCAGGGTTTAACTAATGCCCATCACCGATGAGTATTTTTCTATTTTTTATATGAAATGTTTATATTGTAAGTTGACCTGTAGCAAAATAATTAACTGCAGTATAATAATTTATTTTATTAGTCAAAATAATTTTTCGGGTAGTAAATGATTTCAAATGGAAAAATTGTCAACAACAAAATTGTATAACTTATCAAGATTTACAACTTTTAGTTTGGTCATTTTTCTATATAACTTTTTTTAACAGTTTGAATTTGAATTTAAAAATATGACAACTTCAAATAACATTTTCAAATACTAAATGATTCCAAATGAAAAAATTGTCAACAACAAAATTGTATAACTTATCAAGATTTACAACTTTTAGTTTGGCCATTTTTCTATATAACTTTTTTTGAATAGTTTGAATTTGAATTTGAAAATATGATAACTTCAAAACAACATTTTCAAATACTAAATAATTTCAACTAAAAAAGTCATCAACAACAAAGTTGTATAACTTATCAAGATCTATAACTTTTATTTTTGTCATTTTTTCATCTGACAAAGTGTTAGTAACATTGTTCATAAAATAGCTAGATGAGAGATATGTGAATTTTGTGAATAATGTTACTATCACTTTGTCGAATAAAGAAATGACCGAAATAAAAGTTATAGATCTTGATGTGTTATACAACTTTGTTGTTGATGACTTTTCTAGTTGAAATCATTTAGTATTTAAAAATGTTATTTGAAGTTGTCATATTTTCAAATTCAAATTCAAATTGTTAAAAAACGTTATATAGAAAAATGACCAAAATAAAAGTTATAGACCTTGATGAGTTATACAGCTTTGTTGTTGTTAATGACTTTTCAGTTGAAGTCGTTCACTAATAAAAAGAATTCTATTTAAAGTTCTCAAACTTTGAATTTCAAATTTCAAATTGTTCAAATAGAGTCAGATGGAAAAATGACCAAAATAAAAATTTTGCACCTCGATGAATTCTACAATTTTGGTTTTGGTGACTTTTCTATTTGATATCATTTATTAACCCTATTTTTGTTCGAAGATGTCAAATTTTGAACATTCAAAATTTAAATTGTTCAAATGTACTTATTTGTAAAAAGGACCAATACAATAGTTGTAAATCTCGATGAGTTGTACAATTTTGTTGTTTGTGTTTTTTACATTTGAAACACAAAAATCAGCCTAAAATTATATTTAAAGTTCTCATAAATTGAAAATAAAAAATACCACATAAATTGAATATAAACATTTCATATGGAAAATGGAAAAATAATCATCAGTGATGGGCTTTAGTTAATGCCCGATAAAGATTAAGTCATCTCAATCGGGCATTAGTATAGAGTCCGTCACGGATGAGTCATCTGTGATGGTCTTTAGTTAATGCCCGATAGAGATTAAGTCATCTCAATCGGGTAGGGGGTAATTCGGTCAACCGCGATAGTTCGGGGGGGGGGGTGTAATTCGTACTTTTTCCATTGGAAGATTCAAAGGGAGTTGAGGGTAGAGAAGTCATGCAAAAATGTTTATGAGGTGAGGTGTGTGTGAAGGAGAAAGATGAATGCCCATGGCGGGTTCACGCATATAAGGATAAATGGAAGGATTATTGGCAGGTCTCAATTGCTACGGAGCACCTGTGCCACTTACAAGGAGTGTGGAGAAGTACCATATTAGATCAGCATTTGTAGCATGTGAGGTGTATAGGATTAGCGAAAAGTCTATATTACCCTTGAGTGTAGTACCCTACATGGTATACTAGGAATATCAATTACTACATATGTTTCATATCATTAATCGTTTTGACTCTTTTGTTAGTTAATTTTTTTTTATGTTTGACTAGGTTTATAAAAAATATAGTAACATGTTCAACACAAAACAAACATATTATCAAATATATTGTATGTTAGTTTTAATAAAACAAATTTGTTGTTATAGATGTTGCTAAAATTTCTCTGTAAACTTGGCCAAAGTAAAAATAGAGGGAGTATTAGATCCTAATCCATATTAAAACGTCATAAAAAAAAACATAGGGATGGTGGTGTACGTACCTCTTGTCACTAAGGTATTCCCTTAGCTTGTTGATGATGGCTTGCTCATCGTCTTCCACAGCAGCAGTAGTGGCCACTTGGGAAAGAATATTCGTCAAAACCTTCTTGGTGTTGGGATTTTGGAACACTGACGCAAAAGCTGCGCACTCAAATTTTCCTTTGATTTTGCAGTAAATTTGATTGGCAAGGGTGGTCTTCCCCAATCCTCCGCAACCCACGATGGAAATTGTCATGACCTGTTTTGCTGAGGCACTTCTCCGCTTGTCCAACAGCCGCCCAATGATCTCATCTCTCGGGGCATCAATACCAACTAATCTGTCCTCGTCGACATAGAGAGCCGATAGCCGTGGATCAACCTTCACACGAACACTAGGCCCAGATGCCAAGCCATCAAGCATGTACCTCCTTTGTCTCTCACTCTCCTCCATTACACGCGCCTTGAGTTCTCGAATCATGTGGCCAATCCTACGGGATGCAAGAAGCTTTTGCCCAAACCCAACCTTCGCATCCTTGGAATCAAGCTGTAGTATGAAGTCGTCGATGCAATCCTCAATGTCGTATGCCAACTCGCGTACTCGATCCCTCCAATCCTTCATTTGGGGGTGAAGCTTTTGCGTGTCCTCCAACCTCTCCAAGAAGATGCTCATGCTACGGAGCTCGCTCTCGAGGAACTCCATCTCCCTACGGAGCCACTTAAGTAGCTTGTACTCACCACCAAGAAGGTTTGTGAGCTTGGCGAGGAGGGAACGCATCACTCCCGTCGAAGCACTCACTATCGCTGCTTCCATAGCTGGTATTTCCCCTTTCAAATTCACAGCACATGTTGTGCTGGTGTAAGAGCACAATGGTGCCTCTCTCCTTATATCTCTCTAGCACACAGCTGTTTTTTCTCTCTTTTTTGGGTAGAATTTCGCTATTCATCACGTAACAAGCAGTCGCACGGCCACATCTTCTCACGCGCAAATGCAATATGACTATAGTTAATAGCCTCCCCATTTGTCATAATTTATTTTTCTTGTCATGCGTGGCTAGCCACTAACCACAAATACAATATGAATCGTGCTATACATACGACCCTATTGTCCGACTCCTGTCCGACCCGCCTCATCAGCCAATCACTGCATTCCATATAAGTCTGCTTCTTTCCATGTGGGCCAGGGCGAGCAGCAGCTGAGTGTTGGTCGGACACAAGCCGTACATACAAGTCGTATGTATAGCAATTTCCATACAATATTTTCTGGTCATTTGATGTTTCATTTCCACGACAAGAGCTTTCATGACACTATTTGCACTTTTATTTTAGCGCGTTTGCAGACTGCGTCAGTGCTTACGTATGTATCAATGAAAAAGAACAGCCAGACCGGACCACAGCTGGACTGGGACATATATATACTCCCTCGCTCCGTCCTAAAATAAACCATCCTCGTATTAAGGGGTGTTTAGATCAAAGGGTAAAGGGTGTAAAGTTTTGGCGTGTCACATTGGGTATTATATAGGGTGACACATGGAGTATTCGGGCACTAATAAAAAAACTAATTACATAATCCATCATTAAACCGCGAGACGAATTTATTAAGCCTAATTAATCCGTCATTACCACATGTTTACTGTAGCACAACATTATCAAATTATAGAGCAATTAGGCTTAAAAGATTCATCTCGCAAATTAGTCTCAATCTGTGCAATTGAGAAAAAAGGCAACCTAGAAGGGGTCACATGCCTTTTTTTTGGACGGAGGGAGTATTTTTTTAGCCTATATTTAATACTTCATGCATCTATTCAAATGTTCGATGTGAAAGGGTGTAAAATTTTGGGGTGGGATCTAAACAGGCCCTTAGGCACTGATTAGTTCCAAAAAAATTTTTTTCACCATGTCACATTGAATGTTTGGGCACATGTATGGAGTATTAAATATAGAAAAAAACTAATTACACAAATTGCGTGTAAATTGCGAGACGAATCTTTTAAGCCTAATTGCGTCATGATTTGATAATGTGGTGCTATAGTAAACATTTTCAAATAACGGATCAATTATGCTTAATAAATTCGTCTCACGGTTTACATGCGGAATCTGTAATTTGTTTTGTTATTAGACTACGTTTAATACTTTAAACGTGTATCCGTATATCTGATGTGACACGCAAAAACTTTTCACCCCTAACAAAACAGGGCCTAAGGATATGACATCCTACTACAACTATACAACTATGTCCAGATTCATTGTACTAAGATTATGTGTTACATTATAGTTCGAGGTTGATTTATTTTGAGACGAAGAGAGTACTACCACTAGTCATGCAATTGATTTAACCATTAAGTTTGACAATTTATTCAGAAATTTAGTGTAAATATATAAAAACATAATTCACATTTAAAATATTTTTAATAATAAAATAAGACATAACATAAAATGATATTATATCAATTTTATTTTTTAAATAAAATAGCTAGTCGAAGTCCACTACATAAAATATTTCACCAGGCGAGTATAAGAAAACGAAAGTCAGGATAAAAGAAACCTGCAGAAATTCAGAACACATCTACGATTCAGCAATGTTGAAAGCTGTAGAGACGAAGTTACCGTGAAAAAAACAAGTTTACTAAGAGATGGGGGGCGTTGGGAGGGAGGGAGGGAGGAAGGAACGAATGAAAATTGGTGCGGAAGCTTTGTATTTTTTTTAAGGGAGAATTTGAACCATGCCACACAAATTTTGTAAAATTTGTGATATGCCACCCTGACCCACATGTCATTGAATAATGTGGTTTTAAATTAGGTGTATAGATATTTTAAGACGGAGGGTTAGCCCAGTCCAAATTAAAAGTTGGCACTACTCTAATCAGCAAAGACGCTGTTGTGATTGCACACGTTGCCGCCATGTGCACGCCGCCGCCATCTGCTATTTCCTCCTGTGAGGCCTGGTTTTAGTTCCCAAATTTTTTTCCCCCAGAAACGGCGCATCAAATCTTTGGACACATACGGGAGCATAAAATATAGATAAAAATAAAAACTAATTGCACAGTTTACATGGAAATCATGAGACGAATCTTTTGAGTTTAATTAGTTCATGATTAGCCATAAGTGTTACAGTAACCCACTGTTAATGGTCGTTATCGATCAGTTTCGCCCGTTAATATTGCTAAAATAAACGAGAACTAAGTTATGCTTGCAATGCATATTGTATTAAAATAAGATATATTCCACTAGCACAAGGCATTCTAACCTTTTACAGAGAATGAGCATAAATGGAGGAGAACCGATAGCAAAATAGACGATCAATTAATCTGACGCTGTGGAGAATCAGACTTACGGACAAGTAGGCTGAGAACACTAATTTGACACGATCAATGCAACCCAAAATTCACAAGTCTGTATATGGGAGCAAGATAGGAGGCCACCTGCTGAAAATGGGCCAGGAAGGCCCAACCCATGGTTTGACTGAACCCTCCTAGGCGCCGTTGATGCAGAGTTTCTTCTGGACACTCCGATCACTCCCTAATGATGGTTGGAGGACATTTCCGACCATTCCAACCATCACTACTGTCACGCCCTGAAGTTTTCCCCTTTTTTCTTGCTTTAAAAATTGGTTTAATAAATCGTCCGAAGAAATTGTTCTAATTAACCTAGAGTTGAATCCTTAATTAATAAATGCAATTAATAATTGGAATTGGCATTGTGGGATTTTTCTTGAGTTCCACATGTCACAATATATTAACAGGATTTTTAGTGGAATTTTCAGTGCTTTGGAAATAATTTTAACCAATTAAAAATCACCAAAGTGCAATTTTAAATCCCAGGAAAAATCCTTTCTTCTTTTTCCTTTTCTTTTTCCTCCTTTTTCCTCTTCTTGGGCCGTCGGCCCAGTCCACCCCGCCGCCCGCGCGCGCCCATCCCCTTGTTGGGCCGGCCCGTTCCCCTTTCCCCCTCCCTCCGTGACGCCGACAGGTAGGGCCCACCTGTCGGGGTCGTCCCCTTCCTCCAGCCGCCCGCCCCACGTCGGCAACCGCCGCCGAAACCGCCACGCCGCCGCCTCCTCCGCTCCTCCCGCGCCCACGCCGCGCCGCTCCCGCGTCCTCCGCACGTTGCCTTCTCTCCCCGCGTCTCCCGACCCGCACGCGCGCTCGCAAGGGGCGGGATTCGAATTTGAATCCCCCCATTCTCTCTCCCTCCACCTCCCCACGTCGCCGGCGGTTTCGGCTACCTCCCCGGCCACGTCCGCCTCCCCTCCGCCTATAAAACGCTCCCCGTGTCCCCCTTTCTCGTTTTTCGCTTTCGCCGAGCTCCCCCGTGCCCTCCTTTGCTCCCGCTCCCCTTCACCCATCGCTAGCCGCCGCGCCGAGTCTCACCGTCGACGCCGCCGCGTTCGCCATCCCGCGAGCCGCCGCGTTTGCCATCCCGCGAGCCGCCGCGTCCGCCGTCTGCCCGGCTAAACCCGCCGTCGGAGCCCGCCCCTCTTCGCACGCCGGTGAGTTTCTCCATTGCCGCTGCCTTCGGCCATGGGTTCGCTCGCCGCGGACCTTCTTCCTCTCTCTAGTTTTCCCCGTTGTGTTCGTTAGGTCCTCCCGGAGCCCGTCCGCCCGTGGCCGTCGTCCTCCCGTCTCTCACCGTCGCCGTTCGCCATCGTCTTCCCCCACGCCGGCCAACTCACGGTGAGGCACTCCTCCCCTCTTTTCCCCTTCCTCTCCCTCCTAGCGCCGGGCCAAGCCGCCACCGCCTCCTGCGCCGCCCGCCACCGCCTCCTGCGCCGCCGGTTGCCGTCGCCGGCGACCGCATGCCGCCGCCGCTCGCCATGTTTGGCCGGCCGGCCGGTTTTGGAGCCGAGCCGAGCCGGTTGACGCCTCACCCCCCTCCCTTTTTGCCGCTGCCCGTGGGGCCCACCTGTCGGCGCCCCCTCCCTCTCTCTTGAGCAGCTGACGTGCGGGGCCCGCCTGTCGGTGCCGCTCCTCCCCCTTGCTGACGTCAGCCCTGGGGATTTATTGCGCAATAATTAATTAAGGACTTTTTCTTTATTAGTAAAAACACAGTTTATCTTCTAAAATTCATAACTAATTTATCCGAGCTCCGTTTAAGTCCATTCAAGTCTCAGTAAATCAAGAAAAATGCAAAGAACCCATTAAAAATGGTTTTGTTTCCTGTTTCAGTAGTCTTATAGCATGTTTTGCTTGTGTGCTTTGTTTGTCGCGTAGATTTCGGCCGTTTCGTTGATCCGCGGTTTCTCGAAGACGTTGCTGAGGTCTCATCAGTGCAAGAGCAAGGCAAGTCATGCATTACAATTGATCATATTGTACCCAATTTACAAATATCCTGCATTTCTATTAAATGTTGCATTCTTTTACAATGTCATGTGGGATGGGTCCTATTACTCAGCCATATATTGTTTACCTTATGCCATTGATAACTTGGGTATCAAAATGACTAGATGTTGGTTTAGGAAATTCTTAGCCATGCCTAGTTCAACTAGTGCACAAATGGGGATCACATGATTACATAGACTTTGACTATGAGCGTAGCTTTGGATTGGTGCCACCGTAATGTTGTTAGTTAATTAAAATACACTGAATGGTGGGCTGTGGGTGAATGGTTTAGCTGGTCGCACCCATGGCAGTTAAGGACCGGTTCACGGGAAACCCTGGGAGACTTACCGTGCTTACCACAAGCGGGAGTGGGTAACTGCTTGATCTGAGGTATAGCTCAACCCTTTCCTAGGCACCGGTGGCGAGGGTGGGCGTGATGGAGTTGGGTCGACCGGGGTGTCCGGTTGTCCAGCTGCCGGATTCACCGCGGCGCAAGAGGGGACCGCCCACTGCCTTTTGAGGGGTGGGGGTGAAACCTTAACGTAGTGAGGATGGTTAGGGGAGGGTTATGCAGAGGGTCTTGTCACGATTTCCCCCTTTGCAGTATCATGGTGATACTTCGGGGCATGG